TTTCCTCGCCTAAGCGAGGAGGATACCAATCTTAAGCGGGTGCCAAGAGAATCTATCGTGTTCGCCAAGGAGATCCGACAATTCCCAACTTAGGCTAAGACGATCCGGCCCATTGGGAAATTTCATGCGCCCACAAGTGCCCGGTGCAGTATCCCAAGGCCGTCGCCTGTCATATGCCCTTGCCCTTTCCCCCCCCCCCCCCCTTTAATCCCCCAAAAAAAAAAAACCCCCCCCCCCCAGCCCTCCCAAACTCCACCCCAAGTCTCCACCAACGCCGCCACCGCCATCTCCACCAACAAGATGATCCTACGCGCTGTAGTATTATTCGGGGGCGCTATGATTGTGCTGTAAGATGTAAGTCTGTGAGACCGAAAAGGGAAGAGGACGAAGAAAAGGAAAGGGTTAGGTAGGGGAAGGTGTTTTCAACCAGGTGATTTGTACGAAGAAGGGAGGGGAGGGTGTTGCCATGTATACATGTGCACGGCTACTTTGGGTATTTGGGTGATGATAGGAAACGCAAAATCTCTCTCCCTCTCCCTCTCCCTCTCTCTCTCTCTGGATGATAAACGAGAATGACAGTGTCTCTACGCAGTCTGTGGGTATTCTTTGACTGGATTGATTCTGTTCCCTTTTTGCCCTAAGCCCTCTGCCTCTATACTCGGCCCTGAGCCCTTTGGCTCCGCTCTCCCACTCTCCCTCTCCCACTCTCCCTCTCCCACCCTGCATTCATGCTAAAAAAAGCTAATACTAGGTGTAAATCTAAATTCTTATGTACGTATTCGTTTTACTTATATTCTCTTGACTCTAACCCCCTTTCCTTTTCCGCCCTCTCCACCCTCCCAAACCCGGCAAAAAAAAAGAACAAGAACGACAAGTAAAAAGATTTGATTACATTCATCATCTGAATAACCTAATATGCTTATGCCTCATGGCCACTAACGACCATCGTGCTTCCGTAACAAAATCAACAGCGCAACAGCGCAACAGCGCCACAACCCACAGCCTCCAATCAGGTCGGGCTATGGTCCCTGCTATCTAGAATCTCATCGGGGGAGAGGGAGAGAGGGAGGGAGAAGGGGGTAGAGAGGGGGGGAATCAAAGCGTGTGTACTCCCTACCAACGCAGCAAAGTGTACAAAAAAAAGGGTCGGTCTCTGGGCTGTAGCGTGCATGGATCTTCAATCGTTCGTATCAATCGTCAAACGGTATCTAACGCTGATTCTTCTTCCTTTTCGCTACTGGGCTGCATGCTTATTCGCTGTGATGTGAGGCTGGCCTTTTCCTTTCTGTTTGGAGGGGGGAAGCGGGGAGGAAGAGGAGGAAGGAGGAGCGCTCGCGCTTGGAGCAGAGGATACATACCCATTCACCTGCCTATCCAGCTGCATGTACTCCTCGGCAGCCTTGCTGCCGCCTCGGTCCAGCAGATAGGCCATGTAGATTTGCGACAACTCCTTGGATACGGCGGGCGCAAAGCGGCCCTTTGTCCGCATCGATTCGTACACCTTCTTGACCCGGGCCTGGGCTTCCGCTTCATCTGCCGAGGGCTGGCCAATCTCGAATTGGAAATACTTGACCCAGAAGTCGCGCGAGTCGACAAACCGCTCGTGCTTGCCGTCAAACACGTCGCGCGCCTCGTCGACTGCGCCCTTGCATTGCCAGAGTATACGCGCCTGCTCGGCAGCCAGGACCCCGCCAATCTGAGTGTTGCAGCGTTCAATGTACTCGTCCAACAGTCGGACAGCAGCATCGTTGCCTTCACTTCGACGCACCAAATTAGCCAGGGATATGTACGTCTCCGTGTGGTCAGGAGCCTGCTCCAGCATGGCAAGATAGATGTCACGGGCAACCGATGTGCGGCCGAGCTTCTCTTCAAACCGTGCCCAATTAAGACGTATCGTGGGTGCAGAAATGGGCACGAATATGCAGCTCGCCCTCATGTAGATGATCCTCGTGTTCTCTTCCTTGCCCTGCGAGAACATCCACCGAGCATAACGCAGCCAGAACTCGTCGTAGAGTGCGCAAGCCACAAGACAGCGTTCGTACAGAAAAGAGGTACGTTCAAAGTTGCCTTGCTTCTCTTCGAAATCGAGGTATTTGCGCCAGTTCTCCAGCTCCACTTCTTCGAGCTCTGTAACGTGGAAGTACGCCCTCTTGATAGCCTGCTCGTAGTGCCAGCGGTTCGTAATGTCCTGTTGGTTCGCCGTGCAAAAGACGTAGTAGTGCTCGTGGATCTTTTGCCGAAGTTGACGTTCAACCTCGAGCGCAGGCTTTTCGGGCTGTCCTTGATTCTCCCGCTGAACGGCGGACTGGAAGGATTCCAGTAGCTCAGCGTCGGCTAGTTCTTCGACAGGCCGCGTACCCAAGAGAACAACAAACTTTTCAAAGTAGCGGTGGAACTGGTGAATGGGAAGCTGGAGCACCCGACAGCAGAGCTTGGTCACATTGGCAGGCTCTTGGATGCGCTCCTCGAACTCGATGTACTTGTCCCAGAACGGGTGACTCTGAAAATCCAGGCCGACAAAGTGAGCGCCACGCTCGAAAAGACTAACAGGTTAGCATGATGCAGTAAAATGGCGGACGGGAGGAAGACGGGGGGAAGAAAAGGGTGTTTGCGCCGACAATCTAGGCCCTATTCATAGGGAATGTGAACCGCCCGCTGAACCTTCCCCAGCGCTGCGCAATTGGTCTCCGCGGTGCAGAGGAGAGGGTGTGTGTTTGTGTGAAGCGAAGATGAAGAGGAGGCATGTTAGATGGGATCCAAAAACGAGATCGAGTCTAATAGTCAATCGCCCGTGCAGTGCAACGCAAATTCCTCGCTGGTTATGAGGACAAATCAAGTCTCCGGAACAGGGGAGGAAAGACAATGCTTACTCTCTAATGATGTCGTTGTCATGCGACGTATCCATCTTGAAGGTGCAATAATTGGCCCACAGATCAACCGAGGGCGAGACGCACGAGACACCGCGCTCATACACCATCTCCGCCGTCTCCGTGCCACCAATTGAAAACTCCAGGTCCGCATACTTCTTCCAGTATCCAAAGAAGAGCGGGAACTTTGTGAGGAAGCAGTCGTAGACGTTGCGCACGAGCTCGATGGCCGACGGGCTCGAGTTGCGCGTTACGCCGCCCTCGAGCTCAGTGGCCCGGCTGACGAGCGCCTCCCACCGCTCGAAGTCGTCTTCATTTTCAACCTGCAATCGCATTAGTGGGCGGGTCCCGGGGCACAGGAGCGCATACGTACGACAGCATCGAGGAGCTTCTTGATGTCTGCAGCGGCTTCGTCGCCAGTGTAGGTGATTTGGGCAATGCTGCCGCGCCCGGTGGCGAGCATCTTGTCGCGTGCGTTGGAAGTAGGTGTGAGCGAGCGTCTTATTGTCGTAATGTCGAGAAGAGAGAGGAGTTGTGCGGCAAGCGTGGATGTGGTGGATGAAGATCGGGTGGGACGAAGGTTGTAGAGTACTTGAGCAATGAGGAAGCTGCGAACGGGGAGCTCGTGTCGCGGGTTCCACTTTGGTCGGCGCGGCAGTAGCGTACCTACTGACGAAAGTAAGCCCTAACGCTAGACAGGCGTTTGCACGTGATATCGGATCCCCGGCCGGCCAAGCCCAAAGTGCACCGTTCGCATAGTGTTACCCAGCGCTCTACTACACAGACCATACATGGTATGTACATCCATCCATGGTGATACGAGACAAACACACCCAAACAAACCATTAAAGTAGCCAACCTTCACAAAGACACCCCAATCACCACTCAAAGTGCACACAAGTCCAGTCACGACGTGAACAAACCCAGCTCCAATCTCCCTCTACCTAATCTATAAGAACCTGCCCCCCCCCCCAATCCACATCCTCCCCTGCTAGTCGTGAAACATACCAAACGAGGCAAAACGTTTTGGTTCGCCAGCTTCTTCGTCTCCGTCTCCGTCTCCATCTCCATTCTCCGTCCATGAATGAGCTCGTAATCGCTCAGGTATCATACGCCAACAAACAAATATTACTGCACAAAAAGAAGCCGCCCATTCAATATGCTCAAATCAAAGTCTCCCACGTTCGCTAATGCAGTCCATGTCTGTCCCAAGCGCTTTTCTTGTCAAAAAAATTCCGGTTGGTACTTTACATAGCTGCGCTCTCTCCCTTCATGGCGCTTGCTGTCTCGTTGGCGGCAAAGGAGAAGGGGCTTTTGCCGACTTCGGGGCTCCGGGGACTGATGGGCAATGCAAAGAGGCCGTCGTCGTTATCGTCATCGTCGTCTTGTGTCGACGAGGGTTCGGCTCTCGATTCAAACACAGGCGCAGGTCCTGACAAGGCGTTCAAAGAGGCCATGTTGAGCGAGCCCATCATCGCTGAGCTCTGTTGTGCGACTACAGCGGGTGGAGGAACTTGGGCGGCAATCTTTCGTGGAGGAGCCGTGGTTATCCGCTGTGGCTGCTGAGGGGGCTTCGCCGCAAGGCAAGAGGCGTTTTCGCCCTTGAAGATGGCAAAGGAGGAGACTGCAATGTCCGAGGATTCGGGTGACAAAGGGTTGGAAAAGGGCACATTGGCACCACCCGGGGTGAGATCCTTATCGCTAGTTCCCAAGCGCAGACCAGCCAACTTGTCCATGAGACGTCCTCCCCCGGGGGAGCGCGGACTGGCCGGGCCACTCGTCATAGGTGTGAGCATTGGCTCCGTCAGGTTCAGACTCAGACCGGTAGGCTTGTTACTGACGCCGAATGTCGTTTCAATCCACGACTTCTCCTGCATGATGATTTCGAGACCGATGCCCTCGACATTGTTCCGCGACTCAGCTTCAATCTCCTTTTGCAGCACCTGTAGCCGCTTCTTGGCCCAGATGGTGTGCAGGACGCCCTTCTTGCCTGCTGCACGCGCCGACGCTCCCAGTTCAGGGGGGAACAAGGCAGGTAGCGGATTCGTATGCCATACCACGGGAGCTATGCTGGCGTCCTGGGGCCGTAGAGTAAGTGTGACGCTGGTAGGGACGGGCACAAGGGGAGGCAGCAGGAAATACATGCGGTGGACGTCGTTGGCGGGCTGGTCGTTGGCAGGGAGGACTCGTGTACTTCCATCCCACGAGATGTGCCAGTCGCCCCGCACGCCGCGTGTGGTCGCGTCGTCTTCCCATTCTACCATCAGGATCTTGGTGCCTTCTGTAGCGTTGGCATGGCCGGCCTCGTATTCGTATCTCGCGAGCGCATTGGTGCTGGATTTACTGGGCGATTCGACTTCATCTTTGGCCGGCAAGTGGGCCGTCGTGTCTACAGTGGTAAAAGGGACCGTGGTGGCAGAGGAAGACGCCATCAGGGAGAAAACGAAGGCGGGGGTGGTTGGGGGAGGATTCTCGGAAAGCGCAGATGATAGTGGTGGGCGGTAGGTACCTCACACGCAACTTTTCCTTTTCTCCTTCTCTCTATGGCTCACAGTATACAAAGCAATGTGGGGGGGGAAGGGTGCGGAACACGAAGACAGGTACGAGTTTGGGTGTGTTACGTTAATAGACGGCAACGGCAAAATGCATCAGCGGCCCGCATGCGACGGGTGCTGGTCCTGAGACGCGACTGAGTGGACCGAGACAAAGACGGGCTGCTCAAAAACCTTTGCGTGTTGAACGTATTGGAAGCGGCGGGCGGAGAGCAAACAGTGTGCGGTGCTGTTGTTCCTGTGTGGTGGTCAAAGGGACTTTGCACTTGTCCGCGTCAGTACAGCTGCAACTAGTTGACGACCAGACGTTCCTCGCTAAAATTAGCCTGGCTGGCCTCTTGGTACTCTACCTACGTACTGTAAGTCCTCCAACCTTGTAGTAGCGGAAAGGACTTCCCCACCTTTTGCTGTCCCTAATGCAATGTCTGCTGTTTTGTGTGTATGTGTGTATGTGTGTGTGTGTGTGTGTGTGTGGTAGAGTATGTACATGTACAAAGTACACACCAAACATGCCATGTACCAGAGCAACATATCCTCCCGTGTCTGTGTACATCATCAGACCAGAAAACGCCGCATAACCATGCTGACTGTACCTAATTCCACCCCCCGCCGTCAATCCTCATTCTAATTCACAAAATGGCATGATCATGTGCAACTCACCCACCCCTCGCCATCGCCCAGAACCTCTCCATGCTGTTCTCTCTCTCCCTCTCCCTCTCCCTCTCCCTCTCCCTCTCCCTATTCATCTCCCCCCCTCCCCTACAACAGCGGCGCATTCCTGTGCTCCGTCAAACGGCAACGTTCTGCTTCCCCATACTGCAACGTCAGCCAATCACTTCACTTCTGCATGATTGCGGCGTCCTTGTCATCTTGAGCGATACGCTTGTTTCAGCTTCCATTTCTGTTCTATCTTATGCGGGGGGCGGGGGGGGCTTGGGTATTTTGTGAGCAATGCCTTCCCCCCATGACTGCATGAACTACTGTTACAATTGCGAATCAGCAAAATTGGGTGCTGCACTAGCGAACCCCATGCACTTATCCAACGCACCCCTCCTTCTCCTTTTCCCCCTTTCCCCTCTTCCGTAGTTCCGTTGATGCCTGTGTCTGCCAACCAGAGGTCAGGAAACAAAAAAAAAAGAGAGGCCATGAATATCGTCAGCCGTGGAATAAAAAAAAAGAAAAGGCGTCCCCTGCAAACGCCCATCCGTAGTGGAATGCCGCTGCGCCGTGAAGATGCTGTTGTCTGATTGCTCAAGCTCGCCCATGAGCTCAAAATGTGACCTGTCCTTGCCTGACCAAATTACAAAAAATGGGTATATACGCTGAGAAACGAAAAAAAAAAAGTATAAGCAAAGAAATGAAGCAAGTGCTTGCTGAGAAATGGGTAATGGGCAGGTCGCAACAATGCGAGACGGAGAGAGTGTAAATCGCAAAAGGTGACAAGGATACAAACGATTTCAGACCAGGATGCGGTTTTCCAGCAAAAGCGACTGGCGACTCTTCAAATCAACAAAAAGTCCCAGCCCTTCTGGCGCATCATATCCCGCCAGTGGATACTCTGAGTGTTGCCCTTTGCGAGGTTGTCGTCGTTGACCAGCCATACCTGATTCAGTAGGTCCCTGACTTTTCCAAAAGAACCAAAGTTGGCGGCGTCGCCGAGGTGAGCTGAGCGCTCGGCAAACATGCTGCGGAAGCTGGATCCGGGTAGAGAAATGGATCCAGCTACGAGAAGGGGCCAGACGAGAGAGCGGTCGAAGCCATCTGGTCCTGCCGGAATGTATTCCATGGCCTTGCAGAGAGCGCCGACGAGGTTGACAAATGAGGGCGAGGTGCGGTCAAAGTCGGGAACGAGACTACAGAGGTAGATGCGAGCGGCCAGGCGGTAGACAGCAGTCATGTTCCTGCGAAGCTGCCTGGGCAAGATCTCGCCAGTCGAGCTGTACGCGCTGTTGAGCGATCCCTGGGGTGGCTCAGTCAGACTGATTTGTTCTCCGAGAAGTTTGATGTGCGCGCAGAGTTGAACAATGTCCATGTTCTCATTCTTGAGTGCTTCGAGACATGCGATTTCCGAGATCAAGTACATGATGCGGTCTTCGCAGCCCATGAGCTCAGCGAGACCAGAAGACGCATCAGCAATGAGCTTCTCTCGGTAGGTATCAGCAAAGGATGGCGTCTTGCCCAGCATGGTAGCACCGAGAATGTCGATCCACGAAGCAAGCGTCATGTTGAAGGGAGGCTGGGCGTGGGGCTGTCCGTTCATGGCGACCATTTGAGCGGGAAGTTCAAGCTGATGGACCAGGCTTTGGACGGCTTGGAAGTGCTGGTGCCATGGAATGTCGACCAGACCGTCGTCAGCGCGACCGACCGAGCATGGGAAAAAGATCATGCCTAGTGTGGCCTCTAGGGTCTGCGCATGAGCACTGTCACTGCTCAGAGACTCTGTGAGCTGCTGAACCGCAGCATAGCGGTTTCGGTAGATGTCTTGGTCAATCTCTGGTCCCTGTAGTCCCTGAGTAGTCTTCATCTGTAGGGCAGAGACGCTCATGCAGCAGTGCAGATAGGCCTTGTTAGACTCTAGTGCAGGAATGATGACCTCTCCACGCGCAGCACCGGGTTGATTCGTTTCAAGAACAGGGAAGATGGATGGCATGATGTTGTCGAGGAAGTGGCTCAGGAGATGTTGATCGCACTCGTCCACCTGGATGGACGGCTGGTGTCGTGGGCTAAACGCACCGTGGGTGGGGAAGTCAAAGATGGGATACTCTAGAGGCTCTTCAGCGAACGACTCGCGGCGGCTCTCAAAGTAGTCTTGCTGAATCCAATTGTCGGTTGGGTACATGTGACCGACAGCTGGGGGCGTGTGATAGTGGCTGTAGGTTGAGATGGTGGAGTCGCGCCTTGTGGGGATATCGTTGATGAACATTTGGCTCTCCGTCTTGATGTCGATTTCATAGGGCGCGAAATGGGCAGGGTGTGTGAATGAAGGGGCGAACATGGGTGGGGGCATGGATGCGTTGTAGAATTCGGGCGTGGCATCCGTGTGGAAGGGGTAGTCGAGAGAGTTTTGGGAATCGACGGATTGTGCGCGCGTGCAGGCGATTCCGTCTGAGAAGGTGTCTGCAGTCTGCATGGAATGGCAAAGACTTGGGGGTGTGTTGGAGACCATGGCGACACCCTGGGCGGTCTTTTCGTTGAGCTTTGTGCGCTTGATGATGTTCTTGATGTGCTCTTTTTGGTTGCGCCTTTGCTCATTGTTGCTCCACCACATGGGTCTCTTGTATTCGCACTTGAGACCCAGATGTTTGCATGCGCGGCACGACGACTTTCCTTCATCGCACTTTTTGCGTCGCAGGCGGCAAGTAAAGCACCCTGCACAGGCGCGGGTTAGCCAGACGTCCAAGCGCAGGATCCCTGCCATGGGGAGCCGTGAGGAGCAAAAGGGTAGTGGGTAGTAGTGGTGGTGGTAGTAGTAGTAGTAATGGTAGTAGTTCTTACCTGTCCGTGAACGACGGTGCATCTTTGCAGCAGCTTGTTTGGCCGCATGGGCAGCAGTGGTCGTCCCTGCCATGGTGGAAGACGGTTTGGTAGCAGATGGGGGAGCGGACGAGGAGGACATGGACGCTTGATGTACTAGGTCCCAGAGGTGTGGTATATGAAAAGCAAGCAGTATAAACAATGCGGCAAATGCGGACTAAGGCGAGACGGGACACTTTTGCAAGGGACAGGATGACAAGGCTCGACCGGGCTGCTCGTAATTAAAGAATGGGTACTCGAAGCTCGACCAGCGGGCTTTGAAGTGGTAATGAAGGAGCGGAAGCAAATTAAGCGGTCTACCTTGGGGGGTCAAGTTTG